AATAAAATGTTGTTAGTTAAGAAATATGATCTTTTGGATGTGTTCATGTGGTCCACATAATGTTTATGGTTTAATAAAATGTTGTTAGTTAAGAAATATGATCTTTTGGATGTGCTCATGTGGTCCACATAATTCTTATGGTTTAATAAATGTTGTTAACTAAGAAAGATCTAATTATTTTTACTCTATCTGAACATTTTATATTTCAATGAAAATATAAATATCTGTATTTTTTTTTAAAATCTTGTATTTCCAAGATGCATCATGATTTTATCTACTGCATTCTACAAAATAAAATAATATTTCCATTTAATGATTTAAGACAGATTATTATTTAAATCATTTTCTAAATGGACTACAATGTTCAATTTACCAATGACAATCTTTATTAATAGGGCTGTATTTTATATATAAAGTCCAAGTTATGATGATTGACTTTAAACTTAATACTTAACCTTTTCAGCAAGTCAAGAAACTCCAGATCATTTAACAAAATACATTTTTATTATTGAGCTACTGTAAAGCAGTGTTTACAATTTACAAAATTCACTATTCACATTAAATTAAGCTTCAATTTTAATAATCCATAGTCAGTCAGTCAGATCTTTCAGTCCTATAATTTACTCATTGCACGAGCGACTTTGGAACCATTTGGCCGGTTGAGAGATGCACATATAAACTCTCCAGCTTCCAACAGTTTAGATAAATTCACTCCCTTCAACAGCAACAGAAAAGTAAAAAAAAGGATACAAAGAATTTTAATGTCAAATACATAAAAGCATATAACACAGTTCCTACAAATTTCAGCAAATTAACCTCTTAAACCTAAAATAAACAAGTAAGACACCTATATTAAGAAGACATAAAATCTTCACAGTACCAAGCAGAATCTTGTACAAAGAAAAACTTTTTAATACATTTATTTAAGATTTTTATCTTTAAACAAAAATTTAATTTGATAAGACATGTATAAATAAAAATAAGCCAAACTAATAATTTTGTTTTTTGAAAAATAACACAAAGATAATTTGTGCTACTTTCCTTAAATATGAGCTGATATACTATACAGAAGATGCTGTTAAAACTACCCACAGCCAACTTTGGGCTTTCTTATGAAGTGAAGGGATTCGATTGTCACTCTTGAAATGGACCCATAAATAAAAACAATTTTGCAACAAAAAGTAATTATAATAACGTAAGTAAGCAATAAACAAGTTATAAGTATAAATTATGGTGGACCATACTACATGCTTCGACAAAACATTGGTCTGTTTTCCTCAGATATGATTCATAAGCCATTGGATTCACAATTCAACATGCAACCATCTAGGCCACACCTGGCCCAAAAATATGAGACAAACAGGTATTTATAAAAATATGTGATACATAGGTATGATTTGAAGCAAAAGAAGAAAATAGAGATGGTACGTATTAAAAACATTAAGAATTGGTAATTTACATGTACAAAAAGAAATAAAGACCTATCATATAGATGTAAAGTCAAAACAAGACAACACAGAACATTAAAAATGTACCTACTGTCTTAATACCCATTCCATGCAGCATGTACACTACATCTTCTGTTGCTACATTGCCAGACGCTCCTTTAGCATATGGGCAGCCTCCAAGTCCCGCTACTGATGCATCAACGACATTAACTCCCATCTGTATAACAGTAAACCAGAATATCATGAGAGTGAGAACACTGGAAAGTAACAGTAAAACAGAAGATCATGAGACTGAGAACACT